TTAAAAATTTTATTACTGAATTTCAATACATATATATATTTATATTAAAACTTAGTACTGCTCAATTGATTAATATGAATATAAATTACAAGCTTTTGTTTAAAACCTTATCTGGCTAGAAATATTGCAAAAATATCATAAAATGCAAGTAGAATTTTCCTTTACCTGTTTTTGTTTTTTAAAACACGCTCAAAACAATTTTAATGCATGAATTAATTATAATATATTTTCTAAAACTCTTATAATCATTATTAATAATATTAATTTGTCGTTTTATTCATTTTTTAAAAAGCAAAATTGGAAATTTTAACGGACATAAAACATTTTATTTAAAACCACTCAGCAACTTACGTGATTTTTTTCTCTTATTTTAGACATTTGTTGTTCTCGTATAAAATTCCATTTTTAAATTAATTTATGTGCATTTTAAATTAATTAAAAAGTTTAATGTTTCTTCCAGCACTATTTCAATAAAGCTACGGTCAGAAATTTGATCACTTTCATTACACCACCTCTTTCTGTTCGTATCTAATCACAGATAATTTCAACTTTTGAATAAACATAGCATTTTTGTTGACTGATAATACACATAAAATTATTTTCTGAGCTCAGTATAAATATAAAAACTTGCCAGTTTAAAGGTGAAAAAAATGTTTTTCAACTTTAATTTGCATTTAAATAAATCAGTATATACGCATAAATAGAGTTTTTTGATAGTTGGAGTCATATTTAATTACACTCCTTTTCATTTACACTGATTTTTAGTAAGTTACTGAAAAAATTAAAAAGTAAATAAATAAATAAAATAAACACTGAGGGGGGTGTGGCATTTAAAGGGGTGTCAAAATTTTAAAAACCTTTTTATAACATTTATTATCGTCAGATCATTTCAAAATTCCTCTTCAGTGTAGTAAGTGTATTAAGGTACGTTTTCAGCAAAAAATTGACAAATCGGTATTTTCATTGATTTTTGTTGTACCGAGTCCCCTTAAAGGAGGTCACGGGAATTTATTTTCAGCGAAAAAAAAAGCTCAAAAACTCACCACCTGGGAAGAAATGGCGCTGTATGCAATATTGTTCAACGAAATAAGGCTCCGAATCTAACTTAACCTTTTGTTAGTACACGGGTTTAACATTTTGTACACCCTTAAGAAACATTGACCTAAACAAAACTACCATTTAAGGGCGTTAAGGGAAATAAGAGTTAAGTGCACCATCCGTGTAATGGAATAATCCGACCATGAAAACCACAAATTAGAGATTAGAAAATGTGAGATCGCGTATCACTCGCAAAAGTGTGCGCATTCCGGAAATCGTTTTCTTACAAATCGCTCATGCCATCTGCCCAGTTCCATTGCATTCACCTAAGGTCACTGTTTGGTGTGGTATGACAGCTTGTTTCATAATTGGAACATTTTTCTTCGAAAAGCAGTCAACAGCTGGACCTGTTACGTACACTGTGACTGCAAGTCGCTTAGCATCAATGTTAAGACGTTTCGTGATATCTGAACTGCAGCAACAACGTGGCTTTGCAGACACCACGATTTTTATGGATGACGGGGCTCCACAGCATATTGGTACACGTGTCACACAGTTATTTTGGCAACATTTCACGAATGAACGGATTAATAGGTCAACACCTTCCCTCTTGTTGGTCAACAGACCTCAATCCTTGTGAGTTTTGGCTATGCGGTTATCTCAAAAGCACTGTTTATGGTGGTAATCTAAACGATGTGGCATAATAGAAAGATGTGATACACTGACGTATCCTCCTGATACGCTAAGAGGTGCTTTTGAGAATGCAGGAAAACGATTTAACTTACTTTCAGAAAATGGCGGATGCCACATTGAACATGCTTTGTAACACATTTCAGAAACGATTAAACACATTTAAACCGATGTCTTATTTCGTTTAACAATACTCCCCTGGTGGTGAATTTTTTAACTTTTTTGTTTTTAGCCGAAAATAAAAATCCTAATGCCGTCCAGTTGGTATAGTGGTCAGGGAAGGTAAGGTAAGGTAAACCGCTGAGTTGGCTTCCGACCCAGGTATAGATGTATCCATGCAGAATTGGTTACCAACTCGGTGGGAGTCAACCACTAGCTACCAGGCCGCAGCCCTGGACAGCCCCGGCTGAGCAGACGACATTTATAAAATGCAAAAAAGAGATATACATATGCATACAAGGCACTTGAAGAAGGGTACAACAATGTACAAAGAAATATATACATGTGCATACAAGGCACTTGAAGAAGAGTACAACAATGTACAAAGAAATATGTACATGTGCATACAAGGCTCTTGAAGAAGAGTACAACAATGTAAAAAGAAATATATACATGTGCATACAAGGCACTTGAAGAAGAATACAATCAAAATACATGTGTATACATATAAATACAAACTCATATACAGATATATAGTACACACTTACATACATAGATATTCCGAAACAAATAAAAGTATGCATACTCTCACTCATATTGATATATACACCCATACATATACGTTATCATGATAGTTAAAGTTTACAAGAAGCATGCCATTGAGGTACGCGTGATCCTTAGTATGAATTAGGTACCATAAATAAAAGATATAAACATGTACAGATACATTACAGCGTTCAGATACGGTACGAACTTTATTTATGAAAACCTGGCACAGCATAAAATACAAAATTACATATTGTACATACATATCACATACTCTGTTGCTGACCTATTGTACTAGCTTATATAGACTTTTATGACTACTATCTTCCAGTGTCAGAAGAGTAATTGCTAGTACAGTAGTCAATTATTGTTTTCAGTTTCCGCTGGGCAACTCTGTTACTTTGTCGATTCTGGAACCAATTTGGCCAGAATCTGGCTCCTGGTTGCTTGAGGCTTTTAAGTGCTGTGTGTGGGCAGGTAGTCAGGGAAGCTGACTGCGAGCCCGAAGGGCCTGGTTTCGAATCCCGGAGAAGGCATGGTTGTAATTGTCCATCCCTTCATAGGAAAGGCGATGGTGGCCCACCTATTAGGTGCCTCCATGATAAAGAGACCACCACATCCGGCCTTGTATAGATCAATGGACTGGGTTACATTTGTTATTGTTCACAATCTACCACTGGAAAATAAATAAATAAAAATAAAAATAAAAATCCTATGACCTCCCTTATTACGATTACCAAGTTTGATAACATTTGGTCCAGCAGTTTTCCTTTTATGACCATTTCAAAGTCTGTATACCGAGAAAATATGTTAAGACTAAAGTTATAAACTGAACATATGGCGAAAATCAGAACTCTTTAATTTGATAAAATTATTGCAGCTTGTGGAGGCAATCACTTCGGCGCCGACTGCAGCAAGTCCTGTTCTCCCCCTCAGAATACCAGCAATACAGATGAATTGTGCGCTCTGCATCTTTTTTGCAAGCCAGATCCCTATGGATGCTCCTGCGCGCCAGGATTCAAAGGCTCAAAATGCATGGAACGTGAGTATTTCAACAAAATTCTTTCAAATGTCCTTTAGGCTTTCACGGTAAGGTAAGTTTGAATGTCCCAAAGAATTACTTTAGTTATAATATTTCTAAGTTATTTTTTCCATGTAATTTGATGAACGCATTCTTGTTATACAAAGATAAATGACCTCGTCGGGACTGGACCTGCTCTTTCCTTCTTGAATACTCGTTGAGCATACTTCTACGCAGTTACACGACGAAGGCATGCGGAAAGGAGGGAAAGAATGTATAATTCAGGTTAAGAAACGTAGCCGTATTAATGCTTAATAAGCATGCGATACAATTATTTTTAAAAAGGGTTTGACCATTTTTGCTTGCTTGAGACAATGGCTGAAGCGAAAGAACGTGCAGAGAAATGTTATTCGGTTAATCGGCGAAAAATCAGCCTACATTTGCAACAAATTGCGTGGTTGAAGCAGCAAGCATTGCTTATCACAGACACGCGAGTATGATTGAGCTCACTGTCTCACAGATGATTAAGAATTTTTTTCATATTGTTGCGTTTTTTTCTTCTTTACAAGTTCGTACGTACGAGTTCGTGCGGATTTGGAGTGAATAATAACAACACTACTAGATGAAGTATCGAAACACACTTTGTTTACCAATATTAATCAGGACAGCTCCAAAAGTTCGTTTACAGTCGTCGAAGATCTACTATAAACACGCTGACACAATCAGCGACACAGCCTTCAGGTTATCAGGCTACAACAGCGGAGACAGATTCACTGCAAAGCACCAGAGTACAGCTCCCGACTCTGATCGGTCGTTCTCGGAACTTCACGTACTCTCGAGACCCTCTATGCTACAACTTGCGATGCACTCGACAATACACTCGACTCCTCGATTCAGTCGTTCCCGGGCTCAACACACTCTAAGATCAAACTCGACTCTGCACTAACCCGCGATACTCTAAGAGACTCTCTCGATGCACTCCACGACATACTCGGCACTAGGCACTCACTGACTGACTATCAACTCGATGGACTCCGCACGGACTGACTAACTCGATACTAACTACACAAGACACTAACTGACTCTCCGCGTACCAGCACGGTTTATATAGCTTTTGGCTTGTGTTCGAAAACATTCTGGGCTAAACCGGTAAGAATTATTTCTAGAAGGTTTTCCATCCGTCCATGGCATATCGCTAATTTTGTCGCCAAATGAGCGATTTATCGCCAACTGTGGCAACCCTGCCTAACCTTGCCATTTTATGGCAACCCTAAAAACTGCTTTGCGGGAAAGCTATCTTACCGCGCCTGAACATTTTGTAACAATATTCGTAAGTCTGGTACACAAAGAACTCGTGGAGTCGAATCCGGCTATTAAAGTAACCACTAGTCGTGAAGTTTTGGATCACTTAAAGCTAGAGTAGGGTGAGATTTAGCAACGATAGTTTGGAAATAACGAAATGATAATGCACCAGTTCGCCCAGAAGTCTTAATTAACATTTGGTCGAAAATTTTCTACACTTCTTTATTCGCCCTACAGTCTAGATCCCGCATTTCGTACGACATATTTTCCCTTTCTCAAAGTTGAAATTTGAAATCGATTCGACGAAGCTGAAGACCTTAAAAGGAACACGCCGCATAACTTGGAGTGGTGTTACATGATTTGCTTTTTGCTTTGGAACAAATCCTAATACGAGTGCGTTTAATTGCAGAAAGAGTATTATTTTTTGTTAATCTGATAGCGAGCACATACCTATTCAGCATTGACAACTCTTAAGTCAGAAGTGGTGGCCATTTTATTGTGGAGGAACCTAATAGGCGTCCGCCTTTGCGTTCTATGAAGGGACGGACTTTTACAACGATGTCTTCTCCGGGATTCGAACCCAGGCTCTTTGGTAGGTAGAAGGAGAGCTATTAAGGATCGCAAAAAGCACATTAGTGACAGTAATAAGCAAATCATATTCCATTCGATTCTAGCACACAAAGCAAAATGGTAGTTAGAAAGTTTTGGACTCCATCTGAGAAGTAAAACACAGGCATCTAATACACGCCATACCTAGCACTTTCCAAGCAAATATAAAACGATAGCTCCAAAGAAAGAGATTAAATAACTAGCGAAAAGTGTCTGTGTTTGAGAGGAAGCGTTTTGTACCGTTTTATTAACAGCCTTTTTGTTTGTCTTTCTTCTGTAGCGTCGGCACTTCGTGAGTATTGATAATGATTGCCGAATAATATGGCGGCTAATACAGTAGGAAAAACTTTTTTGCTTGTTTGAATATGAAAACAAGAAAATTTTGTTAACGTTATACAGCGTTACTTTAAAACAGGGCACGAATAAAAATCTGCTTTATTAGATTGCCCATTGAATAGACTAGAAATTGCTCTGGTAGATATGCGATCAAGAACTCTAGGTTCAGCACAATGTGATTACTTTTTATTAGGATAGAGTAAGGAACAAGGATACGTTCCTCCTATTCTTCAAGCTTGGACGATTTTAATGCATTCCAGTAACTACTGCGAATGTTAAAATGGACATGCTGAGACATGTTTGGGAAGAATTTGAATACCGTATAGGTAACAGTCCTGTTACAAAAGGGTCATATATGAAATATTTATAACCAAACGTGCTAAGACACATAAGACTTCCTCACACCGCGAGACTGAAAAGCGCGATGAGTTCCTTCACCCCTTAGCACCAGGCATAGAGGTTCAACCTCCGCCCTCGCACCTTGGAGACAAGGACGCATCTCTTATAGCAACACTGGTCGTCAATTTGCTACCTGTCATTCGCTCGGGCTGCCCATCGCAGTGGGACATTACCCAGCGAACTCCACGACGCTACCCCCCATCCATGCTACTAGAGCCATACCGCTTTAGGACTCGCCAGACCACCTGCCCGGTCAATGAGTGACCTTTCTGGGGCCTCCAGAACCACTAGGTTCATAAGTTTTATACCCCCGCGGCCGAGACTGCCTAGGTACAGTATGGCTATGTATTTCAGAGCCAGCGTTGAGCAATATTACAATACCAAGAAAACAGATTTTGAACCACTGCCTAACGCCAAAGAAATAAGCGACATTGTTAAAGCGTTAAACACCAATAAAGCACCAGGTCCTGATGGGATAGATGATGGCATTCTGCAAGCCATTAACAGTATGCATCCGGAGTTACTGCATGCCTACATCACTGCGTGTTGGCGCAACAGATATTTCCCAGCCGGCACGAAACTTGGTGAGGTGGTGCTCTTCCTCAAAGCGAAAAAAGATCCTAATGTACCAACGTCTTACCGGCCTATTTGCCTTCTTCCTGCCTTGGGTAAAGTACTAGAAAGAGTCGTCCTTCAAAGACTACTTAAACACTATATATCCTGTCTGGACAAAGCATAAATGACAAACAATACGGCTTCATTCCTGGCAGATCGGTGGATCACGCGCTGCAGCACCTACGAAAATTAATAGCAAATAACAGAATAAATAACCAACATAGTCTCATTATCTCTGTGGACATACAGGGCGCTTTCGACTCGTTGTGGTGGCCCGATGTACTGAAGAGATTACAGGACATGGGTAGCCCTAAGATTCTCTTTGACCTTATTTACAGCTACCTAAGTGATCGCCGCTTACAAGCCACTACGGACGCAGGAGTGCACTCACGTTCCATCAATAGAGGCTGTCCTCAAGGATCCTGTCTGGGTCCACTGCTCTGGAATCTTGTAGCGGACACAGCGCTGACTCCTCTTTAACACAGATCCTCACACGGAAATACTGGCTTATGCCGATGACTTTTTGCTGGTAACCAAAGGGCACAGCCGCAACGCATATGAGACTAGGGCACAACAAGCAATGGACAAGATGGCCAAATGGGCCAATGACCATAAGTTAACTATTGCCAACTCAAAAACCCAAGGTATGCTTATCTGTCCAGGGAAGCGCCATCGAAGAACCCCGTGCATCAACCTTCATGGGAAAATATTAAAATAGTCAGAAACTTGAGGTACCTTGGAGTTATAATTGACGACACACATTGACTTGGATGCCACATTTAAAGGAGGTCAAGGCACGACTTCACAGGATATTTCATTCCATGCTCAGAACAGCAGCACCAACATGGGGAGTTTCTTCGAGGATGCTTAAGACGTGGTACTCTGTAGTTGCTGAACGTATTGCACTATATGGAGCCTCCATGTGGGGCATAACGATCACTACTAAAATGGAGAATCTGCTACGCTCAGCACAAAGACCATTCCTCCTGAGCATTACCCGAGGATATAAAACCTCGCCCACTAATGCTCTAAACGTGATTTCAGGACTACCGCCTCTGCATCTCTTAGCTCATCGCGAGAGTGCAATAGTGCGAGTGCTCCGACTCAAAGAGACAATAAGTTTATGGGATAGGACTTATGTTTATACTGACTATGAGCAAAGCATTCCCGAGCCACCTTGCCACCCGGCCGAATTCAATATCTCGATTAACTGCAGGTCACCAACGTGGTTCAACGCCGCTGCAATCTACACCGATGGTTCCAAAGGAGAATGTGGCACCGGTAGCGGATACTGTGTTCTTCTTGGGAACCAGATCTTAAAGACATGGGAAAGAAAGCTTAAGCACCACAACTCAGTTTTTCAGGCTGAACTGATTGCATTAAAAGCTGCACTTGTCTACGCACTGGAAAATAACTATTCCAGTATATATTCAGACTCAGCCTCTAGCCTCCAGGCAATCCAAGGCAAATGTAGTAAAAATCCACTCGTCAGGGCCATACAAAAACTCTTACTAAGAACACCTAAATACTATAGGCCTGAACTTCAGTGGGTACCTGCCCACACTGGAATACTGGGTAATGAAATTGCAGATGCAATAGCCAAAAGAGCATCAACTGACCCCCACGTTCGCACACTTGACGTGCCTCTCTCGGGTTCGTTCTTAAAAGCTGAGCTCGAGAGAGAATTACTTAAACGTTGGCAACATCTGTGGGAGACAGAAACCACCGGCAGAAGAGTTTACAGATTTTTTCCAAAAGTC